GTACTAGGTAAGCTCCAGGTAGCAATCAACTCTGAAAATCTAAAATTCTTAAAAAAAAAAACAAAACTTTAAAATAGTGTTTGTGATTCCAGTGCCCAAGGAGGCTGGAGGAGGGTTTTGGATCCTTTGGGATTGGAGTTGCAGGTGTGTGTGAGTTGCCTAATATATGGGAAATGAACTCAGGTCTTCTGGAGCCTGGGTGGAGCCACCACTCCAGCCCAGAGAAGCTGAGTTTCTTTCCCTCTTCTTGGTATGGTGTAAAAGACTCTGGGAAGTCTTAGTGGGCAAGTGCTGCGTGGTTGTAGTTGAGTCCAGGAGGCCAGCTCTTCACACTTGCTCTTCCCTACCTTATGAACCAGTCACAATAACCTGCTTGTAGTACAGTTCAGTCTTTCGGAGACTTGACTGTTTATATCACCACAAAAGGACAGCCAACCTGTGACATACCGAGGCTGATTGCTGTTTCCTTAGGTAAAATAAATTACATTGCTGGTGTGTCCTCCTGTCCTCCTTCATCTCCTTCAGTGAAGTTTTACTTCCCAGAACTGTAATGTGCAGAAGGTGGGCTCTGAGAAAGCCAGTACCGCTCCTTAGAAGTTTATTATTGTTTTCAAGTTGCAATGGGACATATCACTTTTTTTTTTTTTTGGTTTTTCGAGACAGGGTTTCTCTGTGACTTTGGAGCCTATCCTGGAACTAGCTCTGTAGACCAGGCTGGTCTCGAACTCAGAGATCCACCTGCCTCTGCCTCCCGAGTGCTGGGATTAAAGGCGTGCGCCACCATCGCCCGGCTTGACATATCACATTTTTAAAAACATTTTTACAGACATATAATCCTCTGTGTTGTTAGAAAATCAGGCAGTGCACCATGGAAGAAGATTAGTCCACAGGGGCCTGTGTCTTAAGGCTTACTGCTCTTATCTGGGACAGTTGCATTTTATTGGGTGAGTTCATTACATGAAGATCAGAAGATAGCGAAGATGTGCTGTTGATGGTGATGACATCACATTCCACACTTCATTGTAGCAGACATTTTAGTGCACACAGCACTCTGCTTATATGATTGTTGGCTTTATTACTTGATAATACACAACATTACCTCTGGGAGGTGATGGGATTTTCCTCTCCTGTCTCTCAGACCAAGCCAAGGGGAAAAACTAGCCAATTCCTAAGCACCTGATTTCCAAGTGACATTAGTAGTCAGGGCAGAGCAGTGAATGTTCTCTATTTCCTTTCCAAGGCTCGGATGGTGGAAGGGTTTTTATGATTTACCAGTAGCTATTTATATACCTTTACTTACCATTATGTTCTACGCCTTTCATGTGGTGCTCAAAGCATAAAACAAAACCAAGCCAAAAAATATGAATCTTGTTATCTAGGCAAGCCTCTCTTTCTTTTTTTTCTTTTAGAAAACTGTTTCATGATAAAGACACACTAGTATGTGGGTGGTAAATGAAAAGCATGCTTCCATCTAGAAAACCACTGGCATTTGCATAAACCACCAGGCTGTCTGCGAAAGGGGGATCTGCTTTGTCAGTCTCCGGGGACCTTTAACATTGGGCTCCTAATGCTTTTCTAGGTAATGAAAGGTCTAAATTGGATGATGGGTACTCGTTAAATTCTTCAACAGTTGACAGTTTGTGAAAGTCTTAAAAAAGCCCAAATGCCTGGATTGTTACAAACACAGAAATGAAATGAGAAGCTTGAAGGATTTTTTTCCCTTCAGTGCTGTGCTGTATATAGCCTGTTCGCCATTTGCCTTTGATAGTACTGAGCTATATTGAGAGTAAATAATCAAAATATACCAATTGGAACTTTGGAAAGGAGACCTAAAGAAATTTCTGTGACTGTTTTTTTTTTTAAATAATCATAAGTTTGAGAAGACATTTGCGGTGGTAGAAACCACAACTTGGCCATTTTTGATGCACTGAAGTAGGCCAGCTGAATGCTTTGAGGACTGGATTATTGGTATTATGCTTGCTCCAATTCTGGGAAAGTAGGCAGATGTTGAGACTGTTGTGTTTCCATGTATGTCCTGCTGATAGGGAAATGGTAGTCACTGGTGAGGTTCTTTGTTGGTATTTATTATCTGTCAGCTACAAGCATACCTTAATAAGCTTTCCATTGCTGAAGGCTGCACATTGCTATAGATAGATTTGTTGTAAGTGGTGACATTTTAGGTATCCAATCTTCAGGTACATGTAGCTTGAAATGGTGCCTTTAATTTGAAGTTGCTACCCGGACTATTGTTTTCATTTAGTCCTCTGGCATCATGCTTCATGTGAGACTGGAATGTACGAGGTGTTATCTTGTACTACCATCAGTGCCTTCAAAGCATCAGAGTGTTCACAATCAAAGTGATTCTCTGCCATCGTCTTCTTCATTATCATGAGGAAGGCTGCGTTCCCTAAGGTGGACACCATTTCATTCGTAGAACAGTCTTGTGAGCTTAATAGAGCTTCATGGCTCTGTAAAACCCGTAGGTTCACATGTGTTTCAGAGTACTTTGGATTTTAGTAAGGTAGGTGGTACATATGACATGCATTGTACAAATCTCCAGGTGGGCTGAGAAGGCAGTTTTGTGTTGTTTTGAAAATGTGATGAGTCACACTGGGTAGAAAAAATAAGAAGCAGAGATAGTTTCATGTTAATTCAGGTCAGGTCTTGTCAGTAAATGAGTTTGAACATCATCTTCAGAAAGCACTTTTACCTCCTTAGTATTTAATATCAAAACTGAAGTTTAGGAAACAAGGCTGAGCCATTACAGTGCCCCTTCCAGGAGAAGAGGAAATAGGTCTAGAGATATCAAGTAACTTTCCTAAATTTACATACAAGGACTGTGACTGTGAAGCTGTTTGAAAGATCAGGCTAGATTTCTAATTCCTAAGTGGTGGGATGCCATGGATCTGATTATGTTATTATACACACACACAGATCTATTTGTAGAGAATAGCTTATTATTTTCCTGTTTTTGTAAAAATGTCTGTAATCATAAACATAGAGACAGGTTTAGAAATATATTTACTAGACTTCTGACAGAGTTTGCAGGTGGGATTTGTGGGGTCAGGGACTAATTAGCACCTTTAATGCTCTGTACCTTAGACATTCCTGTGTTGTTTGTAATGTAAAGGGTTAGGATAGCTGTAGTAAAGGACATCTAAAAGTTAGTAACAACTACCAGATTTTTATTCCTTTTTAAATGAAAAATGATCATTTAAAAGATGGATTTCTATTATTTTTAATTGTGTGTGTATGTGTGTATGCATGTGTATTTATGTATGTGTGTTTGTGTGTATGTGTGTATGCGTGTGTGTGTGTGTGTGTGTGTGTGTGTGCCTGTAGAGGCCAGAGGAGTCAGATCCTCCTGGAGCTGGAGTTACAGACAGTTGTGTGCCTCCAGATGTGCTTCTGGGAACTGAACTCTGGTCCTCTGTAAGATCACCACTATGGAGCTCTCTCCCCAGTTCCAGAAAAATAAAAAGAAACTTGGTGCGATAATTTCTTACCATATAGTGTAGTGGTCCCTTATCCCCTTTTTATTATTCTGCATGTATTACTTTCGCAGTGTTTCTTCTTCTTCTCCTTAATGTAGATAATCATTTTTCCCAAGGCTTTATAAAATAATGTTTTATACAGAATGAATGGAATTCAACCAGATATGATATCATGAATGAAGACTAAGTTCAAACTGCAAAGAATGAGACAGTTAGCAGCATGAAGAAATGAGTTCTGTGTGAAGGGGCCCATGGTGTTGTGAGTGTGATGTTCAGTTGAATAGAATTAGTCCACACACAGACCATGTCGGAGTCTCAGCTCCAGTCTGTCATACTGTGAATGTGCTATCAATTACACACTTACAGGTGGTGTGGTATCAAATCTTTCCCAGTCCATTGACTGAGGGCTTGATAGGGTTCCAAGGACAGGTAAAGTCATTGGCCAAGTTCAGCTGATTTGTCAAGTCTAGTGACATTTTGACCATTGTACCTGTTCAAATGAGCATCTTTAGCTCAACATTAGGCTACCAGCTCTACACCACACCCCAAGGTCTTAAGTATTTGGGATACAAGTATGAGAAGATGGAGTCGGTCTTTTTGATTGTGAGTATAGAAGCAGACGAAGAAATACATATAACTCTCTATAGAGAATGTCCTAAGTACACAGTACAGGTGGCATGAGAAGTTACAGCCAGCTCTTCCCATGGTAGAGAGTGGTCTCTGTGTGTGGGTGGCTTGGAGAACCTCAACTCTGAACTCAGTTTTGGAAAATAAATGTGTTCCAACAAATATAATGAGAAGATTAAGATGGTTCAGTGTGTCCTTGTTCAAGGATGTCAGATACTAAAGGGGTTAAAATTATTCAGTACTCCTTCATGGGCTCAAGGACCACTTGGGGTAGGTTAGGGAGACAGACTTAAGTTTATTTTTAGGATTTTTAGTAGGACTGCCAATGGTTTTAGTGGAATGTCAGGATTCTAAGACCTGCATGTGCTAAGATACAGCAGGGCCACTTCTTGCTAGTTATAGTACTTCTGTGCTCACAGTAGATAGAGCGAAGTGTGATTTGTTGTTTTAAGGGCTTGAGTTCAGGGATTGGGCAGGAATGTTTGGCTTTATGAACTTACCTGGGCTTGTGGAAGCTAACACTGAAGCACCTGATCATACCAGCTCCAATAGTTGTTGCTACTACATGGGGTGGTAGTGGTGATGGTGATGGTGGTCCGTAGATGTCCTCTGAGACTCTTCTCACATTGAAAGATTTTTAGTTTCTTGTTGAGTTATGTGACACTATTCCTGTGACTTAAACTTATACTGAGAAAAATAAAATCCAAATCAAAATAGGTAGTTAGCAGTTCACAGCCCAGAATGTGCTGAAACTTCCAGCTCTTACCAGAGTCCACTGCTCCAGCAGCGATTCCCCTGCCTGTTGTGGCCCTGAATTCCTCTCCACAGTGTTGCTGAAGCTGCCTTACTCTCTAGCTTGTGTTTGTCTTTGTCTTGTAGAGTGGCCTGTGAATAGGAATGCCTGCCCAAATACCGAGACCAGAGATAATGGATGAAGATCAGTTAATGAAAGAAGTCTTGGATAAGTTTATTAATTGTCCTGAGCAAACATATGAAGAATTTCTGAGCACTTTTACTCATCTTCCAAAAGGTAAAATACTGAATTTTTCATAATATTTTTATTGATTATTTGGAAATTGTATATTATGAGCCCTGAGAAAACTCACTGCCTAGTCCTCCCAGGTCTGCCAACCCCTTTACCCTTGTGATGTCCTGCTGTATCCCCTTCCCCCCCTAAAAAAATGAGAAGAAAATGAAAAAGAAGTCCAATTTGTGTTGCCCATGTACTCATTGGAGCATCGTCAAACTCCCAGTAGCCAGCCCTGTAAAGAAAGCTGAGTCCTTCCTCACCTGGAGAGCTACATGAAGTAACATTTTACAGCAACAAGTAAATGACTTCTTAAGTCTGTGCCTTCGGTGTCTTTTCAGAAGACTCATGAGCATTCATTCAACTCCTTAGAGCACATCATTCTTGCTAGAGACTTTGTGACTGATAGGTGTAAACACCCAAGTGTTTATTTGTTCAAGAATTGTGTTGTAGAGTCAGAGATACTTGATAACTGCAGATGAGCTGAGAAAATTTTAGCTGTTCACTTCATTTTATCTTTCAAGCTGTTAAAAGCACATTTAAAACTAAGACACTCTCTGCATTTGGATTTTGGTGTGATCATTTTCTAGCTACTTGACTTTGATAGGGGTTGTTACCAGAACGTAGGACTAATCATGGCACCTCCCTCAAAGGATGCTAAAGACTAAGGATATGCTTTGCAGAACTGGTCACAGTGGTTAACACATTGGGTGTGGTTATCATTTTTGGAATGATGGTGATACTGTTGATGAGGATGGTGCTGAGGTTTCTTTTTTGAAACTTTTTTTTTTTATTAAAAATTTCCACCTCCTCCCATTTTCCTCCTCCTCCCCCTTCCTCTCCAGTCCAAAGAGCAGTCAGGGTTCTCTGCCCTGTGGGAAGTCCAAGGTCCTCCAGCCTCCGCCTCCATCCACGTCTAGGAAGGTGAGCATCCAAACAGACTAGGTTCCCACAAAGCCAGTACATGCAGTAGAATCAAAACCCAGTGCCATTGTCCTTGGCTTCTCAGTCAGCCCTCATTGTCAGCCACATTCCGAGATCACATGCTCCATCAGTCCTAGGCCAGCTGGCCTTGGTGAGCTCCCATTAGATCAGTCCCGCCATCTCAGTGGGTGACTTCCTTGCTCATGTTCTCCCTCCTTCTGCTCCTCCTTTAGACCTTGGGATCTCAGTCCAGTGCTCCAATGTGGGTCTCTGTATCTATCTCCATCCATCACCAGATGAAGGTTCTATGGTGATATGCAAGATATTCATCAGTATGGCTATAGGATAGGGCCAGTTCAGGCACCCTCTCCTCAGCAGCCCAAGGAACAAACTGGGGACATCTCCTTGCACACCTGGGAACCCCTCTAGAGTCAAGACTCTTTTCAACCCTAAAATGGCTCCCTTAATTAAGATATCTACTTCCCTGTTCCCATATCCACCCTTCCTCCATCCCAACCGTCCCATTCCCCCAAGCTCTCCTCATCCTCCCCTTCTCACTTCTCTCTCCCCATCTCCCCTTACTCCCAGCCCACCCCACCCCCAATCTCCCCATTTTTGCCTGGCAATCTTGTCTATTTCCAATATCCAGGAGGATAACTAGGAAACATCCCTTTCACCTGGAATGATGTGGCCTGGATGGAGCCTGAAGTCTAAACTCAAAGTGTGTGTTTCATTATGTGCTTGCTCATTCTATATAGTGTTCATTTTTAATTGAGCCAACACTTAAATGCTTAGTAATTTTATGAAAAAAATGATTCTAATTTTTTAGGTCACATGAAAAGATCTGGTATGTGATTTCCCTTATATATAGCAATGTTAGTTGGAGCTCAAGACCCTTGCCACGGAATTTTTTTTTTTTTTTGGTTTTTCAAGACAGGGTTTCTCTGTGGTTTTGGAGCCTGTTCTGGAACTAGCTCTTGTAGACCAGGCTGGTCTCGAACTCACAGAGATCCGCCTGCCTCTGCCTCCCAAGTGCTGGGATTAAAGGTGTGCGCCACCACCGCCCGGCTGCCACAGAATTCTTTAGTTCTGTCTGAAAATGTGTGCACTCATGTGCCTGCCTTGGAGTGCTTTCGTTCCATCTGAAACTGTGTGCACCTTGTTCATTCGTGTGCATTATAGCTGTGTCCACTTTAGGTTCTGCTTTCAACGCTGGCCCTTTCTGGGCCATCAATACACATTTGAGATCTCTCCACTGAATCTCATATTAGACTCATCTGAGAGGCTTTTGGACTCTGTTGTTACAGAGCCCATTCTGCAGCTTAGCTGGGGCTAAGGAGCCACCATTTTGTAAAAGCTCCTCTGGTGACTTAATGTATATCCATGGTTGAGAATAGGGCTTTCCTGTCTGGAGACCATGACCTTCATAGTAAACCTGATCTCCTGATTTGAAATCCTGAGCATGCAAAAGCAAGGACATTTTAATGAAGAGAGGGAAAAGGGAATCTGACATTTTTGTTTGATTGTTCAAGTTATAGGTTGAACACTTCTAATTTGAAAATCTGAAGTTTGAAAATTCCTGATTCCACATGTACAAAAGTCCACATCTAACCTCATGTGCTAAGTTAGAGTAAAAATACCTATGCATTAAAACATGTAATTAAAAATGTATGAGTTTACATTCAGACTAAGGCATATGAAAGTGGGAAGTACCCTACAGGAGATGGGCACAGGAGATCGCTTCCTATGTGTAACCCCAACAGCACAGACTTTAAGGGCAACATTGAATAAATGGGACCTACTAAAACTGAGAAGCTTCTGTAAAGCAAAGGACACTGTCACCAAGACAAATAGGCAACCTACTGACTGGGAGAAGATCTTCACCAACCCCGCAACAGACAAAGGTCTGATCTCCAAAATATATAGAGAACTCAGGAAACTAGACTTTAAAATGCTAATTAACCCAATTAAAAAATGGGGCACTGAACTGAACAGAGAATTCTCAGCAGAGGAAGTTCAAATGGCCAAAAGACACTTAAGGTCATGCTCAACCTCCTTAGCAATCAGGGAAATGCAAATCAAAACAACTTTGAGATATCATCTTACACCTGTCAGAATGGCTAAAATAAAAAACTCCAATGATAGCCTTTGCTGGAGAGGCTGTGGAGGAAGGGGAACACTCATCCATTGCTGGTGGGAATGCAATCTTGTGCAACCACTTTGGAAATCGGTGTTTCGGTTTCTCAGGAAATTCGGGATCAACTTACCCCTGGACCCAGCAATACCACTCCTGGGAATATACCCAAGAGATGCCCTATCACATGACAAGAGCATTTGTTCAACTATGTTCATAGCAGTATTATTTGTAATAGCCAGAACCTGGAAACAACCTAGATGCCCTTCAATGGAAGACTAAGGCATATAAATCATAAATGAATATCAAATTTTAACTTGGGCCTTTTCTCCTCCCATTCTCATATATATTAAAATATTCTTTTTAATTGATTTTCATTGAGCTCTATGTTTTCTCTGCTCCCCTTCCTGCCTCTCCCCTCCCTTTCAACCTTCTCTCAAGGTCTTCGTGCTCCCAATTTACTCGGGAGATCTTATCTTTTTCTACTTCCCATGTAGATTAGATCTATGTATGTCTCTCTTAGGGTCCTCATTGTTGTCTAAGTTCTCTGGGATTGTGATTTGTGGGCTTTTTTTTTTTTGCTTTATGTCTAAAAACCACTTATGAATGAGTACATGTGATAATTGTTTTTCTGGGTCTGGATTACCTCACTCAAAATGATGTTTTCTAGCTCCATCCATTTGCCTGCAAAATTCAAGATGTCATTATTTTTTTCTGCTGTGTAGTACTCCATTGTGTAAATGTACCACGTTTTCCTTATCCACTCTTCGGTCGAGGGGCATTTAGGTTGTCTCCAGGTTCTGGCTATGACAAACAATGCTGCTATGAACATTGTTGAGCACATGTCCTTGTGGCATGGTTGAGCATCCTTTGGATATATACCCAAAAGTGGTATTACTGGGTCTTGAGGAAGGTTGTTTCCTTATTTTCTTAGAAATCGCCACACTGACATTCAAAGGGGCTGTAACAGCTTGCATTCCCACCAGCAATGCAGGAGTGTTCCCTTTTCCCTACATCCTCTCCAGCATAAGTTGTTATCAGTGTTTTTGATCTTGGCCATTCTTACAGGTGTAAGATAGAATCTCAGAGTTGTTTTGATTTGCATTTCTCTGATGACTAAGGATGTTGAACATTTCCTTAAGTGTCTTTCAGTCATTTTAGATTCCTCTGTTGAGAGTTCTCTGTTTAGGTCTGTACTCCATTTTTTAATTGGATTATTTGTTCTTTTGATGACCAATTTCTTGAGTTCTTTGTATATTTTGGAGATCAGACCTCTGTCTGATATGGGGTTATAGAATATCTTTTCCAATTCTGTAGGCTGTCATTTTGTCTTGTTGACCATGTTCTTTGCTTTACAGAAGCTTTTCAATTTCAAGAGGTCCCATTTATTAATTGTTTCTCTCAGAGTCTGTGCTACTGGGGTTATATTTTGGAAGTGGTCGTCTGTGCCAATGTGTTCAAGTGTACTTCCCACTTTCTCTTCTATGAGGTTCAGTGTGGCTGGCTGTATATTGAGGTGTTTGATCCATTTGCACTTGAGTTTTGTGCATGGTGATAAATATGGATCTATTTTTATTCTTCTATGTGTTGATATCCAGTTATGCCAGCACCATTTGTTAAATATGCTTTCTTTTTTCCATTTGATATTTTTGCTTCTTTGTCAAAAATCAGGTGTTCAAAGGTGTCTGGATTAATATCCAGGTCTTTGATTCGGTTCCATTGGTTCTCCTGTCTGTTTTTATGCCAATACCAGGCTGTTTTCAGTACTGTAGCTCTGTAGTAGAGTTTGAATTCAGGGATTGTTATGCCTCCAGAAGTTCTTTTATTGTACAGGATTGTTTTGACTATCCTGGGTTTTTTGCTTTTCCATATGAAGTTGATTACCATTCTTTCAAGGTCTGTGAAGATTTTTTCTGAGATTTTGATGGGCATTGCATTGAATCTG